GCCACAACGCCCGGCTATTTTTTGGTTGCAGCCGTCATTGTTGTTTGGCGGGCCCAGGCTGGATTCGAACCCGCCACCTTAGGTGTATGTGGCTGGCGCCTTAGCCGCTTGAGCCACAGGTGCCAAGCCGAATGTCATTGCATTATAGCTCACAGCAACCTCAACTTCTTGGGCTCAAGTGATCCTCTTGCCTCAGTTTTTCTTTTTGTTTTTTTTAGTATAGATGGGGTCTTGCTTTTGCTCAAGCTGGTCTCGAACTCCTGAGCTCAAGCAGTCCATTCACCTCAGCCTTCCAGAGTGCTAGGATTACAAGTGTGAGCCACTGTGCCCACCTGGTATTCCCTTTACAATTTCATCTTATTTTTAAAAAAAATTCATTCCATAAATGAGCATGAATTCTAGAGTTGGGCTGCTTGGCTTCATATCCTAACTCCACTATTTATTAACTGTGTGACGTTGGGAAGTCACTTATTTGTGAATAAGGTTTTGAGGAGTCAACTCCAGTCTGGAGCCAACTTTTCTCCAGAGAAGACTGGTTCCTTTTGATAGATGTTGCTATTTAGAAACCAAATCTGGTTTCTAATTTGGTGCTTGTGGTCATTTCTATTGGGATGCCATTTCCTCCAGTCGCTGTCAGGACATATGCATACATATATTTCATACCTCAGTTTGTTTATCTGTATAAATAGGATAATAACAAAATACCTAAGTCGCTGGGTGGTGATTATGAGGTTTAAATGAGTTCAAATATATAAAATACCCAGAAAAGTGCCTGGTGCCTAGTGAGTGAGTGCTCATGAATATTACTAATAATTACTATGAGGAAGCTGAGTGTCATGGAGGTTAAATTACTTGTAAAGGTCATATTAGAGTAGCTGAGTTTACACTAGAGTCCAGATCTTTAACTGCTAGTACAGTTGTCCCTCGGTCTCTGTGGGGGATTAGTTCCAGGACCTCCCTCAAATACCAAAATCCATGGATGCTGGCTGGGTGTGGTGGCTCATGCCTATAATTCTAGCACTCTGGGAGGCTGAGGCAGGAGAATTGCTTGAGCTCAGGAGTTCAAGACTAGCCTGAGCAAAAGTGAGATCTACCAAAAAAAAAAAAAAGAAAAGAAAAAAAAGAAAGAAAGAAAAAAAAGAAAAGAAAAGAAAAGAAAAAGAAAAGAAAAATTAGCAGGGCATTGTGGCAGGTGCCTGTAGTCCCCTCTATTCTGGAGGCTAAGACAGGAGGATTGAGGATTGAGCCCAAGAGTTTGAGGTTGCTGTGACCTAGGCTAATGCCATGACACTCTAGCCTAGGGAAACAGAGTGAGACCCTGTCTCAAACACAAACCAAAACAAAAAAAACCCCAAATCCATAGATGCTCAAGTCCCTGATGTAAAATGGTGTAGTATTTGTATATAACCTATGTACATGCTCCAGTACACTTCAGATCCTCTCTAGATTTCTTGTAATACCTGATACAATGTAAATGCTATGTAAATACTTGTTACCCTGTTTCATTTAGGGAATAAAGACAATTAAAAAATCTGTACATCTATAATTTTTTCCCCAGTTTTTTTCAATTTGCTATTGGTTGAATCCATGGATGCTGAACTAGTGAGTACAGAGGGCAGACTCTGTACATTAACCTCGGGAAAGTATTTTCAAACAATTTGTGTATCCAGTCCTCGTTATGGCCCTATAAGGTGTGTAGGTCAAGTGAAGAAAACCCTTGTATCTCCTATAGTTGGTTCCTAGAATAGAAATTTTCAGTTCTATGTACATGGAATATCATTTATACAATGGAATGTATTTCAGGTGTATAAAATAAATCAGGCTTTTCATTTAGCAAGACAGAACTAGCTTGAGTAGCCATTTAATCTCTTTTTTCTTAGGAAAAGAGAGAGATTTTGTGTTAAGAAATCAAGTTGTCCACTAAATATTTGTGCCCTTGGGTGGGACTGGTGCAGTGGCTCAAGCCTGTAATTCCAGAATTTTGGGAATCCAGGATTTCAAGACCAGTCTGGGCAATATAGTGAGATTCCCTCTCTTGGGAAAAAAAAATTATCCTGAGATGATGGCAGGAACCTGTAGTCCTAGCTACTTGGGAAACAGGATTGTTCAAGCTCAGGAGTTCAGGGCATTGCTGCACTCCAGCCTGGGTAACAGAGTGAGACCTCATCTCTACAGAAAATAACAACAATAACTTCTGCCTTATTCCTTCATCCCTTTGAGGCTAATGATAATCTCAGCACTACTTACTATAAAGGGGTTTAATGAAGATCAAATAAGTCTGTTTTTTTTTTTTTAGAGACAGTCTCACTTTATCACCCTCAGTAGAGTGCAGTGGCAGTGTCACACAGCTCACAGCAACCTCCAACTCCTGGGCCTAGGTGATTTTCTTGCCTCAGCCTCCTGAGTAGCTGGGACTACAGGCACCCGCCACAACCCCCATCTATTTTTTTGTTGTGGTTTGGCTGGGGCCAGGTTGGAACCCGCCACCCTCGGTATATGGGGCCAGCACCCCACCCACTGAGCCATAGGCACCGCCTAAGTCTCTGTTTTTGAAAAGGCATTCTAAGCCAGTGTGGGGATGTAAGCCTGTAATCTCACTACTGAGACTGGATAGCCTCAGCGGAGGATCACTTGAGCCCAGGAGTTTGAGGCTGTAGCATGCTATCATAGCTCCTGTGAATAGCTACTGGACTCCAACCTGGGCAACAGAAAGAGACCATGTCTCAAAAAAAAAAGAGAATGGCAAACTTAATTTGAATGATGATCTAATTGTAAAATGCCAGAAGTTTGCTTCTTTTGTTTCTCTCTAAAAGGAGCTCATGCTCCCTTCTTGAGTCAACTATTATCAGAATTATTTTAGTCCAAGGAACTAGGAATAGGCAGAAGTGCATTTTATTCTTGGAGAAATGAGCACGGGGAGGCTTGGTCTTCATCCCACTTGGCAAGTTTTTGTTCACGCGCTGCCCCATTCTGGCAGGGTACCTAAATTTAGGTATTAAAGGTGAGGTCTGGAATAGTCTCAGCTGAGTGCAATAGCTTTTGTCCCTGTGGAATTGTGGTGTGTCATTCTCCTGACATGTGGCTGCCTTCATCAACCTGGATATGGTATTGTAATATAAGAATTATATACTTGGTCTTCATCTTTGACAGCTGTACTAGAAGTTAAAGATCTGGACTGTAGTTTAAATTTGGACATGAAGCTCCTTAAACCCTTAGAAAGTGAAAGGGGTGAGAGAATTTTGTGTTATTATTGATAATAAGTCCCTTGTAGCTATATCTGAGTCTATGCTAATGAGATTACTCTTAGAGGATAAGAGACTGGTTGCCAGAGGTAGCCACTGTGAGTAGAGGGTTGAACTTTCCACTATTCTCACTCCCCCTTACCTCTGAGAGGAGAGAAGGGCTGGAGATCTAGTCACCGATGGCCAGTGATTTAACCATTCATATCTGCCTAATGAAGCCTCCATAAAAATCCTTGTGTTTGGAGAGCTTCCAGGTTGATGGACATATCAAAGTGTCACGAGGGAGAGGCAGTTGTATGTGTCCCTCCATTTGGCTATTCTTGAGTTGTATCCCCCCCACTTTTTTTTTTTTTTGATGGGGGAAGAAGATATAAGTTGTATTATTCATAATAAACCAGTAACTGTAAGTACAACGCCCTCTTCAGTTACGTAAGCTATTCTAGAAAATTGTTTAATCTGAGGAGGCAGTTATGGGAACCCCCAATTTGTAGGCAAGTTAGACATAAGTGTGGGTAGCCTGGAGACTTTGTACTTACTTGTAATTGGAATCTGAGGTGGGTCTTGTTGGATTGAGCCATTAATCTGTGAGGTCTATGCTAACTCCAGGCAGTTAGCGTCAGAATCAAGTTAAATTGTTAGGACACCCAGTTTGTATCTGCAGAGAATTGGAGAATTGCTTGGGGGGCAGGGAACCCGCATATTTTATGTCAGAAGTGAAGTGCAAGGTATAGAAAAACGAGTTTTTCCTCTTTACCAGAGTCAGAGTTCTCTGACTCTTGTTATTTAGAGTTTTTAATGGAGGTTCATTATGGCATAGTTGATTAAATAATCGGCTATTGGTAATAAATCTTATTTTCCAGCCACCTGAGATAGTAGGTGGGGCGGGGGATGGGGCTGAAAGTTCAGTCCTCTACTGGCGAGGTTGGTTCCTCTGGCAGCCATCCTCTAAGTGAGTCACCTCATTATCATAAACTTAGAGATTTTAAGGGACTTTTTTTTTTTTTTTGAGACAGAGCCTCAAGCTGTCCCACTGGGTAGAGTGCGTGGCATCACAGCTCACAGCAACCTTGTGGCATCACAGCTCACAGCAACCTCCAGCTCTTGGTCTTAGGCAATTCTCTTGCCTTAGCCTCCCGAGTAGCTGGGACTACAGGCGCCCACCACAACACCCGGCTATGTTTTTGGTTGCAGTTTGGCCTGGGCTGGGTTCAAACCTGCCACCCTCAGTATATGGGGCCTGTGCCCTACTTACTGAGCCACAGGTACTGCCCTGAAAGGGGCTTATTATGAATAACAAAACACTCCTGTTGCTCAGAATTTCCAAGGATTTTAGGAGCTGTGTGCCAGGAACTAGAGATGAAGACTAAATATTTGTCTTATTATATTATAGTGTCACAGGCATGCTCTTTGCTTTCTACATATGGAGTCTGATGCTACAGATAGATTCCAGACAATTTTTTTCTTTCCCCAGAGGAATCAGACAAGCATTACCCAAAGGATTCCAATATGCAGCAGATTGGTACCTGTGTCTCCTACCCAAGGACAGTGGGACAGGACTCTGTCTGGCACTTCCCAGGTAAGATTTGTTGTTCTGCTTAGTATGAAAACCTTAGTGTAGATGTGCAAATATTATGTATTTGTAGATTAGCCAACCAAATTGTGTGATGGAAAAACCTCATGAGACCACGCTGATTCTCTGTTGTGCTAGCTTAGGTCTGATTCCTGCAGTATGGTGACTAGGGCGTTGCTTCTAAATAACCCCAGCAATGGAACTTAGTCTAGGAGACCATGCTACAGTCTGATGATTTTTACTGTTAGGGAGTTTTTCCAGATATTCATCTCAGAGTTAACTTTTTCAGTTTTCTTTTTTGTAGCCATTTTGTGCCACTTGTATTTGGGGTGAGAAATTTTTCTTTTTATTTTTCCTTTTTTTGAACATAAAATCTAGTAAACAATTATTTGAGGTCTTAGTTTACCATTGACCACATGATTCATTATAATATAGTTTACCATGGCCACTCTGTGAGGGGCTTTCTTTCTTTCTGATTTTTGTTACTCATACAAATGATTTAGTAACAAAGGAAATAAAAATCACCCATGACTTCAAATCTGAAAACATCAATATTTTTATGCCTTCTGTTTTTTTTCCAGCCTGTATGTTTGTTTGTGTGTGTGTGTATACTAATTTTTTCCTTAAGTGCCTTAACAAGTATCTACAGGATTTTGTATCCTGGTACTTTTTCAATTATTAGAGCAGAAATTATTTATAGTGTTTAGATAGACTTTATAATTACATTTTTTTTTTTGAAGCAGAACCTCAAGCTGTCCCCCTGGGTAGAGAGCTGTGGCATCACAACTCACAGCAATCTCCAACTCCTGGGCTCAAGTGCTTCCGCCTCCCAAGTAGCTGGGACCACAAGTGCCTGCTATTTTTTGGTTGCAGTCATCATTGTTTGGTGGGCCCAGGCTAGATTCGAACCTGCCACCTTAGGTGTATCTGGCTGGCACCTTAGCCACTTGAGCCACAGGCGCCAAGCCATAATTACATTTTTTTTTTTTTTTTTTTTTTTTGAGACAGAGCCTCCAGCTGTCCCCCTGGGTAGAGTGCCGTGGCATTACAGCTCACAGCAACCTCCAACTCCTGGGCTCAAGCGAGTCTCCTGCCTCTGGGACCACAGGCGCCCGCCACAACGCCCGGCTATTTTTTGGTTGCAGCCGTCATTGTTGTTTGGCGGGTCCGGGCTGGGGATTCGAACCCGCCACCTTAGGTGTACGTGGCTGGCGCCTTAGCCGGTTGAGCTATAGGCGCCGAGCCCATAATTACATTTTTTAATGGCTACATGGTATTTTATTTACTTAGCCTTTGTTTGACATCAAAATCATTTCCCCTTTTTTTGGCCATTAGAAGCTTTGATGTCCTTCCCATTTTCCTAGCATATAGTTTTTCTTATTTTTATTTATTTATTCTTAGGAAAGCATATCCTGGGTCAAAGGTATGAGTAGTTTGTCTCTCCAAAAAGTTGTAATTTTTATTGCTACCAGCAATGTATGTACGTATAACTAGTTTTTCATCATTACGTCCCTCAAGTTGGGCATTTTTTAAAAGTTTAAATAATAATTTGAGTAGAAAATGTTATTTTGTTTTGCCTTATATTTTTTTGTTTAGCTATCAGGGTTATACATCTTTTTCTGTTTATTAGTTGTATTCTAGTTTGTGAATATTGTGTGCTATGTCATTTCTCCATTCATCTACTGGAATTCGTTTCTCTTACCAATTTATTATTTTCATATGTAGCTGTAACTTTTTTTCATATTCGATGCAATTAAAAAATTACATTTGTTATATATAATTATATGTATTATATAATTTATTTATATAATTTATGTATAACATTTTAAAATTTCTTCCAACTATTGTGTAAGCCCTGCCCTTATTTTTATTTTTTGAGCCAGAGTCACCTCATTTTGTCACCCTCAGTAGAGTGCCGTGGCATCATAGCTCATAGCAAGCAACCTTAGACTCTTGGACTCAAGTGATTCTCTTGCCTCAGTCTCCCACGTAGCTGGGACTATAGGCACCTGCCACAGTGCCTGACTAGCCCTGCCCTTCTTAAAATGCCTTGTTTATCCCTGTATTTCCTAGGCTTCTTACTAAGTCTGGCACAGAATAGTCACTAAGTATATGCAGAATGAGTGAAGAATAAGCCTATAAGGAAAAGGCATCTATTTTGGATAGTTACACAGGCATTTCTTTTCAGAGTTGGGCTATGTTCTATTACTTTTTATGCAAAATTTTAATAGCATTTATCATATAGTTCTAGATCATTTAGTTTTTTTTTCTTTTTTTTTTTTGAGACAGAGTCTCAGTTTGTCCCCCTCGGTAGAGTGTATGGTGTAACAGCTCACATCAACCTCCAACTCCTGGGCTTAGGCGATTCTCTTGCCTCAGCCTCCCAAGTAGCTGTGACTACAGGTGCCCGGCTGTTTTTAGAGACAAGGTCTTGTTCTTGCTCAGGCTGGTCTCAAACCTGTCAGCTCAGGCTCCACCTTGGCCTCCCAGAGTGCTAGGATTACAGGCGTAAGCCACTATGCCTGGCTCATTTAGTTTTTTATATGTACATAGATGATAGGGAGAGGCAAAGCATATGAATCCCTAACTGTGCCCCCATTCTTTGAATGAATAAACATTTCTTTTTTTTTTTTT